CTTCAGGAGAACAGCAACAACGGCACATACGAAACTAGGACGACCATGATGTCATGATGCGGCTCGGCCCGGATGCGCTGCAGGTGTGCCAGTGTGTGGCGGCCTTCGTCTCTGGAGTCCGCGCGGAACAACCGGAGGGCCCTGGAATGTTGGAACGTACCGCTACCATGACTACTTCGCTCTTCCGAATGAACTGTCGGAGGTCCCCGCGGATGTCTCGTGCCGGCGTTGGACCCCCCCCTCCACTGGCGCGCCGGAGAGCGCGCCAGGGGCGGCGCCGAGGTTCCGCCAGGGAAGGTCGGGCGCCGGCCGAAGACACCCGCGCAGGCCGCCGACGGCTGTGCAGTGTTTTCCCCGAGTGGTGCTTGCACTTTGGGGCTCTGACAGCAGGAGCTCGATCACAAGAAACCTCCCACAAGAAGCCCAACCCTGAGACCCCAGGACGTCCATGGATCTTTGGCCTGGGAACGTCACGCCCTCCACGGCAAGACCATCGAGACCCAAAAACCCCAGGGCACCCTTCGGCTACGCGCAAGAGTGACCCTGGGTAAGAGTGACCTTTGGTGCGCGGCTTTTTGGGGGCCGCGGGGGGGCCAAACCTGGGAGCGCAAGCCGTTGCTCCTGCTTCGTTTTCAACCATCTGGGGACCCATCTGTGCCCGCACCAACAGTCACTCCGGCGAAAGGTCACTCTTACGTCTAGTCGAACCCTGGAGGCACGCAGGGCGTCCCTTGGCATGGGCTTCCACTGCACTCCTCTTCGTGGGGGAGCTGGGCGGGTCCGCCGAGGCCTCGCCAGGTGCCCAGCTGGGCGTGGGCGCCTCGTGCCGGGCGGGCCCGCTGAACCTTCGCCCGGAGCCCGCCCGCCGAGCGCCCTGTGCAGGGAGCCCACAAGAGGACGTACACGTCGGTCGGAGGAAGCAGGCAAAAGCCTGAAGCAAGAGGGCGGAGAAAGTGGATTGGGCACAGGCCCTCCCAGAGAACAACAAAACACAGCAGCACCGTGCCGATCCTTGAAGTAGGAAGGCGCTTGACGCAGAAATTGGGCTCTGGGAGTCCAGAAGTGCCTACTTTCAGCGACCGGCGTGTGCGCGCGCAGATATGCGCATGGGCACGGCCCCTCGATCCGCGAGACTGGCCGCGTGCTACGAACACTTGCGCCATGCGCACTCTCGAAACCAGCGTGGCTTCATGTGCACGTGCGTCCCTCTTTCGCTCCTGATTTTCTCAGCGCCTCGTGTGCGCCTCCTCCTCCTCCTCCTCCTGCTCCTCCTCCTCCTTCTGCTCCTCCTGCTCGTCCTCCTCCTCCTCCTCCTCGACTCGACTCGACTAAGGGCTGTACAAAGTTGCCCGTACCAAGAGGGAAAAGAGAAATGGTGCATGCAAATGCATTCGTGCAGGGGAAGGAAGGCAGCAGCAGCGGACAGAGAACCACCTACGAAGGCAGCCAGCGCACCACGGGGCGCCCCTCAGGAACGGGCGAGGCAGGAGCCACCGCGGCGAAAGCCCCACTGGGCGCGGACGAGGGAGGCCACGACCCGTCGGCGAGACAGGCGGGGGAGGGGAAGGCGTCGAGAGCTCCCACGGAACGACCAGGGACGCGGCGCGGGAAGGGACCGAGGCTGGAACATACGTCCGACATCAGACCAGAGAGGAGCGCCGCCGAGCGGTCCTGGCCTTCAAAGAACCAGGATCCTTCGTCCTCCCCCGTCCTGCGGGCAAAACAGAGAGGAGCCTGCCTTCTGCTCCTGCTAGGGGCGGGAGGGGGGGGAGGGGGAGGGGGGAGGGACAGGTGAAGCCGAGGCGGAGCTGCCTCAGTCCACACTCCCACGAACGTGTCGGCCACTCTTTCCCAAACGACTTCAGGAAGGGCCAGATTTTTTTGCACCTGCGCGGGCAGACACAAGGCAGCTCTCGAGGTCGGCGCCTCGGTTCGGCAAGGGGTATGGATAGACCACACAGCAGGCGCATGCCTGTCGACAGCGGCCAAAAAAAGGCGAGCAGCGGCACGGACCCAAGTGTTCTCTCTCCCGAGAATCTCGCGGGCAGTTTCAGAGGCCCAAGGGACCCCCCACTTGAACCTGGAATCACGCCACGAGCTAACAACTAGATGGGGTTCGGGAGGACGGTAGGCCATTTCCCAAGACATCCTATCACCGAGAACGCATAGGCCAGCAACGAATCCTTCTTCGATGGCATGCTGAATGCTAAGAACTAAATCGAGATCCAGCGTAAACTTCTGCGGCTGGCTGGTCCAAGCCGCGATGACCCGCACCTCGATCCCGATGTCGCTAAAATGCTCACAGAACCAAGGGGAAAGGGAGACAAACAAGTCGTAGGAGGGAACAAGGATAACGACATAGGATCCCCCCTGAAGGGAAGGGATCCTGGGCACCGTGGGGTCTTGCGAGGCACGCGTGGGCTCCTCCACAGAGACAGAAGGAACCTCAACCGACACTGCGCGAGGAGCCACAACGACAGGGCGGAAGGGGGCACCATGCACTTTGCGAGATGGGACGTGAGCGAAACACTCGCTGAGACCTTTGGATCTGTTGTCGCTCTTGACACGTTTTCTGTCATCAATGGCTTCAACCAACTCAGAGGGGGAGGGGCGGAGCGGGGAGGAGGCCCAAGCCAGCCTACAACCTTGAGCGCCCTGAACATGTTTCAGAAGCCTCGCGCCGTCCCAAAATTCGGTAACGCAGAAGGGGCACACAGCGCCCGTGACAAAATTGGTAGGGCTCTCAGAGGTCTTATGGGTCTTACCCACATGAACCTTGATAGTCTTGGGGTCGTTCGCCGTGAACCCACACGTGTAGCAAAGGTATTTGACGATGGGAGGGGAGGACAATTGCGTACCAGCATTGAGAGTGGGGGGTTCACCTGGGGTCTGACCTTCCACATCCTGAGTGGCAGGGCGCACAGCAACCATGGGCGTGCGCTCTTCTGCTTCAAAGTCCGTGTCTGGTCTTAACTGCTTGAGCTGCTTGACCCAGTGCTCGTGCTCTAAGTCCTCAACGAAAAAATGCTTAGCCGCCTTCGCAGCCTTGGCCACAAGGCCTCTGAAAACGCCTGGCATGCGGCGGGCAAGATCGAGGAGTTCTTCGATGTACTCTTGGTCACTTTGATTCGTGGGAAAACGAAAACGTCGCATCCAAAGCATATCAGCTTGAACAAGCTGGGGCCAACACTTCGGCACACTCCAGAGAACATCGATCGACGCTCTCACAGCTGGCGGGGCGCGAAGCAGTATGCTAGGGAGCATGCGCAATCTGGCAACCGACAAAACTTGGTCGATGGCCAAACGTTGGGTTCTGAGGTAGACCATAACATTGGAGTCCTGGTCCCTGGTGTGATTTCGGAGGCCCTTGTTAGCCGCCGTACGATACACCTGGGAACGGTAGGCATGGAGCTTCCTAGCAAGGAAATCAGGGATGTCATCCCAAACTCCAGCCGCATAAAGGAAACGAGTAGCCCCGAGCGTTTCAGCGTACCGAACCTTAGTTTGAATCGAGAGGAGCGGGGAGGGGGACACAACCTTCTTGATGGGTCGGAGAGCACCAACCATGGAAGCGTTCCTGGCACATATTTCCCTGCCGATCCCCCCGTTGACAGACGCAAGCACACCCAAAATCTTATGAACTTGAACGACGTCGATGTGTACGTCAAGAGCAGGAAAATGAGTCCTGGGCGGGAGGGTATCAAACAAATTGCGAGAAGTCGCCTTAGCCCCAAGTCCTCTAAAACATATCAGGGTTTTGGTTTTAGCACTGTTGACGATAAGCCCACGCTTGCCTACAGAGTCGTGGATAATTCTGAAGACCTTCTAGAGTTGATGAACGATCGCGTCGGCTGGTCCGCCCACAAGGACCGTTAGATCGTCAACGAGCGAGAAGTCCGCCACTGGATCCTGCCAGTCTTGGGGCCTGGAAGCATGATGGGGAGCAGGGGGGGCCTGCCAGATGAGATCTTCCGCTTTCATGCGATCTTGTATTTCGCGAAGAGCACTGGAACACACCAAGTTAAACACATCCCCCGCTAAAATGGAGCCAGGGCGCGACCCCACAGGCGGAGCAACCCACGACGCAGACAGGCCAAGCTTCCACATGGAACCTGATTGCGATTCCTGCAGTAAGAACAAGATGTGCTCCGTGTCAACATGGGCCTCGAGAAGGGGGGGCACCCAGTTGGGCCCTGACTCCTTCCTGCAGGAAAGGGGTGAGCTCCATAGTTTCCAGGGCGTGAGCAAGGGAAGTTTCTTCGCGTGGGAGCGCCAATGCCACCTGCTTCACAGCAGCATAGAAGGCAGCAACAAGATCAATGCACAAAGCACCCGCACTTTGTTCAGCCTGCTTCGTAGCATGCCAATGCAGCCGAATTCCCAGCAAGGCGTGTTCGACTCCTTTTCCCTGGGTGCCACCCACCTGCGTGCGCAAAAGGGAAGCATAAATGAAGTCTGTGGCTTTCTGACGTAAGAATCGATGATGCATCTTGGAGATCGTGTTGCATTTATGAATGTTGCGCTGCGCGGCAGCCGTCCAAACATCGCCACTGCCTTTGCGAAAAAAAGGCAACCTCCCCGAGCTTGAACCCCAAAGGCTCACGGCAATGCGCAGCTGCTTTGACCAGGATGGGGGCAAACACCTCGGACAACCCACAAGGGTCCGCTTTAAACAACTCGTCTCGGAAGAAATCAGGCCCCGCGCTGCGGTGGGCCTGAGCCTTGCTGAACAAAAGCTGCAAATCGAAGGGAGAGGGAATCACCTCAATACATCGGACGAGGGGGCCCAAAGGATTTATTCTACACTCGTCGTTATACTTACTGACACCTTCACAGTATGTGAGCTCCTTGGCCCGTTCTATCTTCGCAAAATGAGCTTGCGCGATTTCATGGACCTGTTCAGGGGTGCGGGCGGGTTTACCTTGACAATCCAACATAAATGGGAAACTCGGGGCCTGCTTTGGCGCTCGTCCAGCGAAACGCAAAACGCGGGAGAGATG